GTTAGTTATTTTAATTCAGTGATGTAATAATATTTACCTTCRGATCACTCGTTACYCGTATATGGCGTGTTGTCTTAGCAGTCTCCTACCTACATCATAAATAATAATAATTAATAATAGTCTTGTTTTATGATTGGTCGTGTAAACATAATCGACTCCCTTCAACGTATTCGTAATATTACAGAACATAATATGATGTTGTATCGGTTATAGAACAAAAATTATTACAAAATTTACAACGATGTAATATGGAAACCATATCGCAAACAATATATATTTTATGTATCGGAAATTGTTCTCAATAATAATATATAAATACGCATTTTCACTTAATACGCGATAATTCAACGCTGATAAACGAATTGATTTCAATTTACAGGTAGAATATTATAATATTTTGTATAATAAAATATTGAATGATTTTAGTATTTTTATTTAATGTTCACGAAGTGCATTGATTTATCAAAATATCATAAGCCAATGACGTTTTAAGTAATACAATTTATTACATTTAATGTAAGGTATCAGTAATATCGATTGTATGTACATTTTTATATACTCCGGTTTATACTGGTTGAATATTTGGCCCAATAATAATAATAATTTTTCAAAAAATTTAAAGTTTTGATCGGTGTGTTGCAAGTATGTACGCGCGTATGATACTTCTTTCGGAGCAGTTTGACTGTGAAATYATATATTTGTTAATATTCAAATTRATATTTCGATATTATGATTTAATTTAAGAAATTTTGCATAAAAAGTGTTCCTTAAGATATTATTTTATTACATTTGTTAGATGAAAATAAACTCGTTTGTAGATGGCTCTATGATAGAGTCTCAATAATTGGTTTATTMGATATTATTGGTTTATGGTGAACTGCCAACTGTAGACTGAAATGAGATACAATATAATTTTTGATTGTTGTTAGGTTCACATAAGCCAAGTATGTAATCTATATTATGTAGTGTAGGTGATATTGCATAAATCGTGATACCTGATATCGTTGTTGTTACCTATTATTGGATCATTATCATCGCTAAATTAAATGTCCCGGAGAATAATTAAAATAGTTTTGAGATTTAAATTTTTATTAAGTTTCCGTTAAAATCTCCAGTCAACATCAAGAGCAATTTATTTGTTTCTTCACCAATAAATTTATTTTAGTTTTATACATTATACTTGGAGCTAATAAACAAATATATATCTTTTATAATTTATTAGGCATTTAGGTAGTTTAATATAATATTAAATAACAAAAATTAATTTATACTACATTCTATGCTATGTTATATTTATATTATAACTAATAAATTAAGAAGTACATTTTTTTAATTTTTAATTTGTGCACGGTTTTTGATATAGAGAAGTTTTGCATTATTCAACTGAATAAATGTTCTTATACGAACAAAAAATTGATAGCGTTAGCCAATAAGAATTGGAGAACTACGATATAGRCTAAGTGAAGAAATATTTTAGCGTTGACTGCTTTAAAATTGCATTTGTTATATTTATTTCGTTGAATAGATATGTATTAAACATTTAATTAGCTATTTAATATTTATTTTGATGTTGACTAGGTCTGAGTGAGCTATAATCCAGGTTGAATGAGATGTCGTGTTTGATCGAGTTTTGCGAGTGTATTTGTGACATTCTGATAAGATGCGATTGATCGATTGTATTTTGATTACTTACCTATTGATTTAATAGTACCTACCAGCTTGTTACTGTTGTGATGAATATATTGTATAAGCTATATATTATTCATTACTGTTTCAATATTATTTTCCTTTTTCACTTTATTATATGTAATAATGTCATACACTGATATTAATACGATTTATTATCTAACCAAAATGAGAGAGTCATCACATTTTAAAATGATTAAACAACATAACTTTATTACTTTAATACAATTTAATGGCTAAAATATTAAAGTTCAATAGTTTGACCGTCATTTTACGTGATGTATGCWTATTACTGTAATGCATTGTGTAGTCATGTGTGTTTTATGACTGAATCAATTTTATGAATAATGATTTTGGAATATGATATAAATTTATGATAATAGGATAATGGTGTGAAAATTAAATTTATAATTGAAGTAAATGATTTATAAATCCTCGGAAGAATAGTTGCAATGGTACTTAATATAGGTAATATACTTTAATATAGATACCTATATTACCCATATGGTAATTTTTTCTATATTATAGGAATATAATATTTTTTTATCATATAACCCACTTCATCTCAAGGTATTAATTTTCTAATATGTACACAATTTGTGTCATGAGCTAAAAAAAGTATTATTTTTTATATACAAAAAAAAGCATATATATAATATTTTAAATTAAAAATAAGAATCTAAATTTTGGAAAGATTTAAATTATTAAATAAGTTAAATATGTTGTACAACATATCTTATTGAAGCTTTTAGTAACGTTTTTTCCTATTACTTTCAAGAGTATTATTTATTGTATTTTAATTGTGTTGTTATTTTTTTTACATTAATAATATTATCTTTTTAAAAGATCGTCCAAAGTTTAAATGAAATTATCATTTATAGATTTATAAATCATTTTTCAACAGGTTTAATAATATTCATAAAATTTTCATTCTCTCTAAGCATGCTACTCTTCAAATAATAATATTTAAAAAAAAAATGTCACAATAATATAAATTACCAATTTGTAGTACAAAATAATACTGTAACTTACGTCAATATAGAACGTATCCATCAAGTATGCTTCGCTTAACTCACATTATCTATTCGTTCGTCAATCTTCTCAGATGCACCATACTTCGCGATGGTTAACGCTCTTAAATAAATCGTTTTAATATTTATATATTGAGTTATACTATCTGATATCACTTTAAAATATTTTTATGGTGTCTTCTCATACACTGRAAAAATATAATGCGTTGCTTACCATTTAAACTTAGAATGCATTTTAAAGGGTTGATATTCCTTTAAATGATTATTAATGATTTAAACATAAAATATGATTATGTTCGAAGTCTATTTCAAAAGGTTATTACATGAAAATGGCATAAAAATTGAATAATTTCTAAATAATTTACTACAAAATAAATCGCAAGTTTTCATGATACGACGAATTTTGTTGAAATTGATCGTAAAAAATTCATACTAAATAAAATACATTTTGAATAACTTTAAACGGCTATAGTACATCTCATAAGGAACCTTGTTTTTAAAATGTTGAATGAATAAAATTTTTTTATAGACATAAAATAAAATGTCTATAAATAGCTCAATAAGAGTAACTGTAATTGACTTTGCGTGAAAATTCACAAAGTGCCTTTGAAAACTACTAGGAATTTTTATAGTTGATCACCCCTCCCCCCACATAAAAAGTACTAACTAAATTCTAGAAGTTGACAATTGAAACGTTTTTTTTATTGTAAAAAATGTTTATCTACAAAAGAAAAAAAAATTATTGTAAAATCAATTTATTCACTTTCCTCAGAATCTGAAAAAAAAATATATATGAAAATAAATATATAACATTATTTATA